CGCCAGCGCCATTCAGTCAGCGGCACAAGCGGGCCGTTACAAGAGTTCGTTTACCTAGCCTTTGTGGAGCCTAGAGTTTTTGTTAGAGCTGTTGCCCAGGTATTGTTATTATTGATTATTCGATCATCATTATTTCGTTATTATCCACTCGCGGATACCATACCATTATCGAACAGATATTATTATCACTGCTATTTAATATTAGAGTATTATTATTTCTTTATTTAATTATTATTTAATTTATTCGGTTATTATTGAATTATTGCTATTACACATAGGAAAGCAACTCAGGCGTGCCGTTACGACAATTTCTTTGTCTTTAATCAGTTATAATAACAATTAATAACAATAACTAGGCAACCACAATAATAACTGATTAAAGACGAGGTAAAGAAATCGTCATAACGGCATGCCCGAGTTGCTTTCCTATGCATTATAGCAGTAATTAAATAATAACCAAATAAATTAAATAATAATCGAATAAAGAATTAATAATACTCGAATATTCAATAGTAGTGATAATAATATTTCCTCGACAATCGTGTGATAATATCCCCGAGTGGATAATAACAAAATAACGATAATCGAATAATCGGTAATAACAATGAATAACAATAACTGGATAACGGCAATAATAACTGATTGACGACAAGGTAAAGAAATTGCCGTAACGGCAAGCCCGAGTTGCATTCTTATGCGTAATAGCAAAAATCAAATAATAACCGAATAAATTAAATAGTAATCGAATAAAAAAATAATAATGCTTGAATATTAAATGGATAATAATAATATTTGATTGACATTGAGGAACTCGATTGCGACATTTCTCTATCTAACAAATAAAAAAGTAAATAAAACGCGGTAATTACCTGTCGCGGTAAAGCCCGCAACACCTACTCGCGTGAGGAGTATGCGTCTTAATTTGTCTTAATTATCACCTCAATCGTCACGAAGTCGAAACGCGGTATTAAAAATCGGCGCGGAATGATCTAGGAAATAACGCGGCAACTTCTAATGCGATCGTCTCGACGGTTGATAGTGCTATGGTGTGACGTTCAAACACATGCTCACGCACGCGTGTTTGCATGACCCGACTGCGTGCCTCCCCCTCCTCCCCCCAACGCCAATCAGTCAATGACCCGAGCGACGGTCGGTTTACCTAGCCGTTGTTGAGAGTTTTTGTTAGAGCCATTACCCAAGTATTGTTATTACCAATTATTCGATCATCATTATTTCTTTATTATCCACTCACGAATATTATCATACGATTGTCGAGCAGATATTATTATTACTACCATTTAATATTCAAGTATTATTACTTTTTTATTTGGTTATTATTTAATTTACTTGGTTATTATTTAATTATTACTAGGCAAACGTGTATATATATATATATATGTGTGTGCATATATATATACATATATATTTAGGTTAGATATAAAAATAGGTTATATTAAATGTTGAAAAGTTGCCATAAATAAGAACTTCCTTCGACAAAATAGCTCAGGACTTTTTGAATGAGGTTTTTTCATAAAGGAATAACGCTATATACTTAATAGGCGAGGGATAACATGTATATTTTTAATCTACACGATAGCTACAATTTTATCAAATACAATTTAAAATTTTGAATGTCGCAAAATAGGCCTGAAAGCTTATGAGAGCTTGGTCGCTCTCTTTGAAATTAAAGTGCTACGTGATATCATATTTATTTAAGTCATCGGTTTAAACTGGTTGAATCTATTCGATATTTGAAGCAGGTTTACCCCCGGAATGAATTACCGGGATATTGTAGAACAAACTGGCTCGAATTCGCAAATTCAAATCGATTTTCTCATCGCTCGACCACGAACGTAGTCGTGTAACGTGTAACAGCGACAATCGAAAAATGCACTTTTCGACGCTTCTGCCTAACTGATACCGCCGGAAATGGGCGCGTCCCTTGCGCTATCCCGAGATCTATCCACGCGAAGGGGTGTCCGTATGTGGTGTACGGTTACTACACCCATCTTGCGGCTCACTCGACGTAGAGAGACGAGTTTCTGGAAAGTTAGACAGGAGCGGCTAGTTGCACGGAGCCGGGCACGCGATCGAGCGGGAGATTTTTGCACGCGATTGTGCCGCGCCGACTGAATCCCCGAATGACTGCCCTCCCAAGCTCAAGGGACTTTCAACGTACATTAACGTGACTGTAACCATTGGCTATCGCGAGTAAGGGTGTATTACGCGTAATGAAATCGCGAGAATCGTAGAGACATGTCGACCGCCGATGGCTGATGAAATTGATTTCGTTAATGTCGAACCGTAGCGGATCGAGCCGCATCTTACTTCACCAAAAGAAATCGATAGAGAGAAGGAGCCGGCCGGTAATACGAGTCGAACGATTCGGAGCGATTTTTCGCAATGTGCGACTAATAATGTTCGATCGCCTCTCGTAGGAATATTAGCAATCGAGAATATTAGCAACCAAGAGAACCGCCATTAAAGGCTTCTCCTACTTCACATAATACGCAGAGTGTTTCGCAATTAAACAATTAAACTGTGTCGATATGTTCCACGAAAGAAAACATAAAAAAAAATATTATATAAACACAGGTAAAAAATATTTTATCGAAAGTTTCACTCGTATAACAGTCCATGGGCGCAATCCAACCGTTCAGTTTGCAAATCTCCAGTATAACGTTAAAAAAATTGGCAAATATTTCTAAACGACATTATTTGACGGAGCTTCCTGACGCGTTAAAATTGTATTAAGTTGTAAAAAAGAAAAATACACAACACTTTGATATTTTTAATTGCTGAATTTTGTACGGAATGTTAGTAGAAGCTGCCGATTGGCATCGGGAGCGCCTTTTTGTTCGATCAACACTTAATTAATCCTTGCTTGAAGATGTCTCGACGCAAATTTAATCTGTGACTTAATTATCTGGCTATTTACCGTAGGAAATTAAACAGCTATAACCAATCAGAGAGTGAGAGAGAAAGTGTGTGTGTATGTGTGTGCGTGTCAGAGAGAAAGAGCAAACGTAATTTATGAAAGTGAACATGTCGTCGCGGCACTGCAAAGCCGACATCTCGCAATGTAAGTGTGCTGAAATAAGGCGTGTTCGCTTGCACACGGCGTTCGTTTGCCGCTTTATCAGTTTAGTCGGTTTGCATTAGCTCCGATCGCATATTTCCACGCTAAAGTCGGCGATAATTAAGTCACAAATTAAATTTCCGCCAGGAAGAGTCAATTGCAAATCAGCCGCGAGATAAAACCGTGCTGCGACTCGACACTTCTCCGGAGTAACTTGCACGGCTCACGGGGCGTATACACCGCATAAACCAAACGCGCCCGTATGCAGATCAGAGCGAGATAATTTCCAATGATAAAATGCGGAATGGGTAATTGCGAGAGTGGTAAATTACTACAATGTCCGCCTCTCGAAACGCGCGCAGTTTTCTTCGAACCGGACAAGTCGATCGTCGAAAGCGGTCGCCGTCCAGATATGCGCGGTTATATACGAGCGAGTGATCGATAAGAGGGTGGTTCTCGTGATAAGAGCGAACCAGTCCTGGCCTTGGTGTGCTACCAATTGCTCCTCCGCCTTTAAATTGCAGCCGACGAAAAGGATCAAAGGCTCTGCTCCCGTTCGCCAGCCGAGCAGCTTTACTAGCCGGTTTTTGCTCCGGCTATCTTATTTCTCATGGTCCGTCTGAGTGTTTTAACTCGTGAGAACATATACGCGAGATTCGAACGGAAACCATGAATTTAAATGAGCACGCGGGCACCGTCTGTGTTTTAGCAAGTAAATATTTAATAAATTATGAAGATCAGTTTTATGGAAACATAAGTGTAATAATATACCAATTATAAGTATAATATAATAAATAATATAGCCAAATAAATATACGTAAAATGACGTTAACAAAGTCAGCAAGCTTATTATTAATATATTGTATTTATTTGGAAATTGTGTATGTAAAGATAAAAAAAATAATTATTTAAAATTGTAATAAATGATTAAATTAGATAAAATTAAATTAAACATTATAAAATTATAAGCAATTATAAAATTATAATAAATTGTAACGATTCTGTTAAATTTCTCGTAATAAAAGCATATGTCTCTTATTATTAAACTTTTTACAGAAACTAGTACCATAATCTTAACATATAGTTGCTGCAATTTTTGACACGCGTATGTGCATACGGTTAAAAATCATAAAAATATATCAGTGTAATATGAATGTGTTAAAGTTATATACTTCAAGCATATTCCTTAATCCTTTCGCTCTATCAACAGGATATATGTTTTGAAACATATGTTTTCCCTACTAATAATAATCTTATTCAATCGAATAAATAGCTTTTAGCATATTTAGAATATATCAACTATTACTTTACTTGTTACTCTCCGTTAGAACAAACATGTTCTTTCAAAAACCCCAATGGAGCATCAGTGTCCTGGCCCTATTCCTTTAGTACCAAACATATGATTTTTAATTTTCTTTCTTATTAATACTACATTAATTTATTTATTAAAGTGAAAGTTTAAAAAAAATTGTACCTTTAAAAAATAAAATTGGTAACGAAAGGATTAGTGTGTTTGGCCGACAAACGTACTCGATCAGTGAATTTACACCGGCATAAATTCCGTGAAACAATGCGACTTACCCTATATTTCTCGTCAATTCAGCCGCCGCATATGTCCTGTCGCGCCAATTCCTGTGCGATCCTTCACATTGGAACATTGATAACACTGCTAACAGTCCGACTTGACACCCGTTAGCACACATCGTTTCTCGTTTAGATTCGCGCAGTCACTTTATGTTCACTGCCGGCACTTCGTGTTAATTCCGGTCGATCGTGTGTGTTTCACATTTTCGCCGCAGGAAATCGAGAGCATCGACTGGTATTCGTCAATAAATCGTAACCGTGCATACGTAACGTACCTGTAAAATGTGTGTACTTACAGTTCTGCGGGTGCCTTACCATTCAACAGATTGACAATTATTAAAAACGCTCGATTAGCTACACTCATTTGTAGTCACATGTTTCTCATTAATTTTTATTAATTAATCTAGAAAACATGTTCCCCCATTTTCCGGATTAAACCATCATGCATAACTAGATACGGATGCGGCTAGTCGAAAATTTTCAATAACTATCGATTTATCAGTGGTAATGCATCTGCGGAATCGATATATATAATAAGCTAAAAGTGGGCTAAATGTAAGCTAAAAAGTTGTTCGTAATTTTTGCGGAGAATTTGTGAACTCATATATCTTGTACAATGACAGCATTCTCTCACTAGAAAACGAATTTTCTCATTGAACAAACCGGAGAATTTATAAACTCATCTCGAAAATTACGGACTACTTTTTAGTCTACAACGGAGTAAACGAAGTTGGAATAAGAAACAAAAACAATTTCTTACGTCTATACTCTAGCTCTCTTAGTATTTTACTTAAGAGAAACTTTCCGATGTGCAGAAATTGGAGACATAAGAGTGTAGACACAAACGAATTACATTATTTTTATTTTTTACGTCAAGCTTACATTAAACTTACTGTAGACAAACCTTAGGCTTGGTCTACAATATGCCGAGTAAACCGTAAGAATTGATTAATTATAACCGATTATTCTTATAATAATCAACTATAATTGGCTAATTCTTACGGCTCTTACGGCTTACTGCACATATTGTAGACCAAGCTTTAAGTGGCCGTCTACAATATAGCGGAATAAGTTGAAGTAAGAAATAAAAATCATTTATTCTGCTTACACCTATGCTCCAACTCCTTTAAGTAAAAGAAATACTTGCAGTTTAAGGGAGTAAGAATACAGACGTATAAGCGAAATAAATTATTTTTATTTCTTACTCCAATTTACGCCAAACTTATTCCGCATATTATAGACTAACAGACATGACACGTTGTGACAAGAACCGCTCGGACAAGTGTACACTGAGAAACAAGTGAATTACTCTCTAATAACGTACTTATAGTAAGTCTCGATGATTACACGTCGCTCTTTTCGACACTCACGATACTTAGTTCCGTACGAGTTCTCGCTTTCGACGGACAAAAGACGTGTAAAACGCGGAATGATGTCGATCGATGTGTTAATGGCAGTTGCCCGACGTAAAAAGATCGAAGATAGGCGTGCAATTTCTCACGTATACCGACAATTCCTGCCACGAACGTTGTGTGGCGTTACTAGACTGACGCGCTGTTTATATCCTTCTTTCTTGCTAACGTACCAACGCTATTGTCCGAGATTCGGCGTCGCGTATATCATTGGCATTATTTTAGCTTCCGCGCGTTTTTCCTCTACTTATTACTGAATTTCTAAATCCCGATTAATAAACTCGACAATCATCCGATTTTATTACTGCTTGAGTGAGGCTACAAATTGCTTGAGCAAGAACAAATGTAAGAGACGTCGACCTGACACGTTACGACGAACACTGATCGGACAAATATACATCGAGAAACGAGATTACTCTCTAATAAATAACGTACTTACAATACGTCCTGACGATCGCACATCACTTTTTTTGACACTCCCAATATTTATTTCCACACGAGACTCATCTTCGACGGACAAAAGACACGTAAAATGCGGAGCGATGTCGATTGATGTGTTAATGGCGGTTGTCCGACGTAAAAAGATCGAAGATAGACACGCAATTTCTCACGTACGCCAACAATTCCTGTGACGAACGTTGTGTAGTGTTACTAGATCGATGCGCTGTTTATACTCCTCTCTCTCTTTCTCTCTCTCTCTCTCTCTTTTGCTAGAGGACCGACGCTACCTCTCGAAATTCGGTGTAACGTATATCGTTAGCGTTATTTTAGCTTTCTCTTTTCCCCTAATTGTCTCATTAAATTTCTAATTCCCGATTAATAAACTTAACGACTGTCCGATTTTATTACTACTTGAGTGAGATTATAGCAAGAACAAGTGTAAGAGACGCCTACCTAACACGTCTCTACAAGCACTGGTCGGACAGATATATACTGAGATATTACGAAGAAATTATTCCCTAATAACGTATCTACAACACATTCCGATCGCACATCGCTGTTCTCGACACTCCCGAAACTTATTTCTGCAAAAGATTCACTTTCAACGAATAAAAGACACGTAAAACGCGGAGTGATGTCGATCGATGTGTTCATGGTGGTTGGTCGACGTAAAAAGATCGATTTCCAAGATAGCCGCGCAATTGATGACGGCACGCCGAAAATGCGCGCTGAATCGTGCATGACGTGACGGTCTAACAAGGACGCGCTCTGTGGAGTACTCTCTCTCTCTCTCTCTCTCTCTCTCTCTCTCTCTCTTGCTAACAAATGACGCCACCGCCCGAGATGTATCGCATATATCACTGACATAATTTTAGCTTCCTCTTTCCTTCTAATTATCATCGAATTTCTATTTTCCGACTAATAAACTCGACAATCGTCCGACTCTATTACTGCTTGAGTGAGGTTATAGCAAAAACAAGTATAACAGACGCCGATTCGACACCTCGCGATAAGCACCGGACAGAGAAGTACATGACAAACATACGAGTGTTTTGTACGTACTTACTTGACGGATAACACGATTGATCTACGCAGTTGCGTCGACGTGCTTTAATTTCTAGCAGCAAGCACACCCAACTACACAAGCGATCTTTCCGAGACGTCGAACTGACGCGAAGTGCCGGCCGAGCGCAGTCTAAGGTGACCACGCGAATCAAAACAATAGAGGGACGCGCGCCGGCGAGTGACGAGAGCTAGACTAGTGGTCTGTTCTTTTTAGCTGCACTGCTGAACTAGTGTAATAAGTTAGAGTGAGAAAACATATAATTATCTTACTTTAACTTATTGCACCAGTTCAGCAGTGCAGCTGAAAAACAGCTGAAAAACAGACCACGTGTTTACCGTCCCGTATACACATTAGCACGATAGTTTTTCAATCAGTCACCTGAGTCAAATACGCGTACAACGTTCCGATCAACCATTCGATAATCTATGGTGAAGCTTCCGACGTGACTGTGTCGCGGTATACCAAAGACGCGTTCTGTGGCACATCTCTCTCTCTCTCTCTCTCTCTCTCTCTCTCTCTCTCGCTAGATTGACGCTACCTTCCGAGATTCGGCGTCATGTTTATCCCTAGCGTCATTTTATTTATTTACATCTCTGATTACCACTCTATTTCTAATTTCCAATTAATAAATTCAACTATTGTCCAATTTTATTATTATTTGAGTGAAGTTATAGTAACAAGTGTAAAAGACACCGATTTGACATGTTACGACAAACACTGGTCGGACAAATATATACCGAAATATGGAGAGATTACTCTCTAATAATGTACCCATGATACGTACCGACGATCATACATTGTTATTCTCGACACTTGCCATACTTATTTTCGTGCAAGACTCACTTTCAATAGATAAAAGACATGTAAAACACCAAGCAATATCCATTGTTTAGACCGAACGTTAGTTTACACCGAACATTTGATACACATACTAAATGGTAACTTTCTATTAAATAATTTTAATATTGACAATATATGTCAACGACAATGTATTCAATTGATATAATACGTTTTCTTGATGACCATTATACTATAATACATTGTTGTAGAATGTACATCGTCGACATTAAGATTATTTAATAGAAAGTTACTATTTAATATACGTATTAAACTAGTATTAACTTCAGTGTAAACTAGGCATATTATGGCTGCTCCATCGTTCCCGCTTCTTCGAATATTCGACAATGAAGAATGTATATGTAGGAAGGCACAGTCTAGTAAAAAATATCTAGTAATTTTAGATCTAGTTAAGGTTTGGACATTAATAAAGCTGCGCATATCAGTGTAACTGAGTGTAACTAAGGGCCGTGGCACACAGAAAAACTTAAGCAGTAAGACGTAAGCAGTAAGCAAATTGACCAATCACAGTCGTTGATTCTTCTTACGGTTCAAGAATTAACGACTGTGATTGGCTGATTCGCTTACTGCTTACGCTACTGCTTAAGGGCTATCGCACACAAATTGACATAACTGCATATGCATAGCATAAGACCGTATGTACCACTGAGCATCAAGAATTAAGTTGCTATATTGGTGTTCGATGCTTAATATTCGATGCTCATTGGTCCATACGATCTTATGCTATGCATATGTAGTTATGTCAATTTATGTGCGATAGCCCTTAAGCAGTAGACGTAAGCAGTAAGCGAATCAGCTAATCACAGTCGTTAATTCTTGGACCGTAAGAAGAATCAACGACTGTGATTGGTCAATTTGCTTATTAAGTTATGTCAATTTGTGTGCGATAGCCCTAAGTTTTTCTATGGCCAGTATTCATAATCGAGTATTATATTTAAGACAGTCTTAAGTTTATCTTCAGATACACCATAGCCAATGAAATAATTTGTACATCATCTGAAGATAAACTTAAGACGATCTTAAATATAAAATCTGACTATGAATACCGGCCTATGTGCTACTAGCTTAACCGTAATAAATTTTAGTTCTTGGAAGTGCGCGTTGATTGGCTACTGCGTCGCCGAATCCTGGGTAGTGGTAGCGTTACTGTCAGCAAGACAAAGAGAAATACCCCATACGACGCGTCCTTGTCGGATCACACCGTTCACGATTCAGTGCGCATTGACGGCGTACGTTATCAAAATCGATCTTTTTGCGTCGAACAACCACCATGGATACATCGATCGACATCACTCCACGTTTTACGCGTCTTTTGTCCGTCGAAAGTGAGTTTTGTGCGGAAATAAATATCGGAAGTGTCGAGAACAGCGATGTGCAATCATCGGAATGTATCGTAGGTACGTTATTACATTAGTAATCTCCCGTAATATCTCGATATACGCTTGTCCGACCAATGCTTGTCGCAACGTATCAGGTCGATGTCTCTTACAATTATTCTCGCCATAACTTCACTCAAGCATAAATAGAATCAGACAATTGTCGAGTTTATTAATCAGGAATTAGAAATTCCGTGGTAATTAGAGGGAAACAGAAAGTTAAAATGACGCCAATGATATAGGCGACGTCAAATATCAGGAGGTAGCGTCGATTCGTTAGCAAGAGAGAGGTAGAAATATAAACAGTATGGGTCAGTCTAATAACGCCACACAACGTTCATGGCGAGAACTGTCGGCGTACGTGAAAAATTGCACGCCTACCTTCGATCTTTTTGTGTCGGATAACCGCCATTAACGCATCAATCGACGTCGCTCCGTGTTTTGCGCGTCTTTTGTTCATCGAAAATGAGTCTTGTGCGAAAATAAGTATCGAGAGTGTCGAAAAGAGCAATGTGCGATCGTTGGAACGTATTGTAAGTACGTTATTAGAAAGCGATCTCGTTTTTCGATGTATACTTTTCCGACCAGTGCTTGTTGTAATGTGTCAAATCGGTGTTTCTTACACTTTTTTTTGCTTAAGCAGAATCTTACTTAAGCAGAACCGGACAGTCGTTTATTAGTCGAGAATTATAACTTCAAGCAGTAATAGAATCGGACGATTATCAAATTTGTTAATCAAGAATTAGAAATGCGGCGGTAATAAAAATTATAGATAGATAAATGACGCTAGAGATATACGTGATATTGTATCTCGGTCGGCAGGGTCAGTCTGTTAACAAGAAGGAGAAGGGTGTGCACTCGGTTTCAAATCGATTTTTACATTTTTTTCCAATAAAATTGCAGCATTTGAGATTGCCATAATTGCGAACCACTATTGACAAATTTACGCGGGCGATTGGCTATGTCTGCTGTTACCAGCTAATTATTGCGCAAATTTGTCAACAGTCTCGCAATTGTAACAAAAAACGCTGCAATTTATTGAAAAAAAAGTATGAAAACAGTTTTGTAACTGAGTACAGTAGGTCGCAAATCAATTTAGATACAATGAATTTGAGAGCGTAGTTAATGATCCAATAAGAGGACAAATTATTCAAAAATAAGTTCTCTCATTAAGTTATCGGCTACACTCTTCATTGTGCAAGTTCATTGTGTCTAAACTGTTTTGCGACTCATTACTACAGAACGCGTCGTCGATGGATCGCGACGCGGTTCGCGTCGTTGTGCGCGAATGCTTCACCATGGATTATTCGAATAGTCAATCGAAGCGTTGTACGTGTCTGGCTCTGTCAACTATCCGAAAAAAAACTATTACGCTAGTGTGTATACACGCAACGGTAAAAGCGCTCCGGCTCGTCACTCATCGGCGCGCGCCCGTCTATTGTTTTGATTCGCGCGTCACCTTAGTCCGCCCGGCCGGCACTTCGCGATAGTTCGGCGTGTTGATAAGATCGTTCTGCGTAGAGCTGCGTGTGCTCGTTGCCGTGAGTTGAAGCACGTCGATTAGATCGCGTCGATTGACCGCGATCGTAAATCCATCGCGTAAGCACGTACGTTCGTATCGTTACGTGCGGCGTGTCGTTACGTCGAAAGCACTGTAACCTGACTTAACCCTAACCTAAATGGTCGCGTCTCGTGAAATGGCATGCTTCGCTTTACGTACTCGTCCGCAGTACGTCGCTGGGTTTAATCGTGTGCCGCAGTATCGGTGGCGTCGAACGAAATACCGCATTAATTAAAGTGTACCGTGGTAATTAGCAGACAGTAATTACCTGTCGAGTGTGCTCGCGTTGCAGCCCAAAGCTGCCCGCGTATCAGGACTAACCTTGTCTTGAGTTTTCGCTCAAAATCGACATGACGAGGTTCGGGAGTGTCGAAGCAAACAATTCACACATAGATTGATGTCATAATCTTGTTTTTGCACGATATATCGGCGCGAGTGAATGTTTGGAAAAGTGCGAAGAGTTCAAACAAACAGAATGTGAGGAAGAAGTTAGAGTGAGAAAGTGGAAGCGAGGACGGCGTGGTGAAAAAGACGGAGCCGAGATGCTGACAAACAGAGAAAGAGAAAGAGAGAGAGAGAGGCAGAGAGGGCGAATGAGTTGGCGAGAACGGCATTGTCCGGTAAGTAACTTTGTAAACATATATATGTGTGCATGAATTTGAACGGAACCACGAATTTAAATACGATACGTGTGCTGACTGCATTCCAGCAAGATAGACGATTGCATAGATAGGTAGGAAACTATATACACACGCATTTAATATATCACGCGAAAATCGATGTTAAAATTGATCGTTTAAATCGAAATAACATAATTTAGCTGAGTCGAATAGTAGCCTCGAGCAGTTGTGTCTCAAGAAAAAATGTGAACAAACGCGATAACGTACGCCATACGGTATTATTTTTAAAATAAGGCTTGTCATTTTTTTAAATAAATTATTTAAATGGATAAATTATCTAAAGGGAAAAGTTCCTTTAATATATTATATATTGCCGCAAAAAAACAGATAAAATAAGCAGATACATAAATCATTACTTATCTAAAAAATACATTTATAATTTTATAAATAAATTATAAATTTATTTTTTAAAAATTTTTATAAATTTATTATATAAATAATTATTTATGCACCTGCTTATTTTATCTCTCTTTTACGACAATATATATAATCTATTGTACATTAAACAGTTTCCATAAATAAAAATATTATTATATTATTATTATAAAGAGTGCGATCAAGTTTCGCTCCTTCTTCATAGGATTTTGTAAAACTTTGAATATTCCAATAAATAAATAT